GCAAAATTGAATGAACTGTAATCTTTGTAAATCTTGACAAAAAATGTTAGCAATAAGTTCAACAATAATAAATACTGTGAAGATTTCAACATGTGTCAGTGTGTTCCCCCGCAAAAAAAAAAATTCTAGTATTTAATAAGTTAGAAGAAAACCTGCTAGTCTCAGTTCTCTCTATCTTTATATATATATATATATATATATATATATATATATATATATATATATATGGATATATATATAGGAACAAAATGAACAAAAATAAAAATACAGGAGGTTGCATGTTGCCCTCTGAGGACTTTATCAAGACATTTGCCTTAGTAAAGTCCCTCAGAGGATGAAATGTGTCTGCTAAGAATAGTTTTTCCTCTTATCTTTTTTATATATATATATATATATATATATCATTGGTACTGAGTACCTGATGATTGCACAGTGCATGAAACTCCGAGTCCTACTGTAGGCATGGAGTATTATATATATTTATTAATATATATCTAATAGCTCTGTTATCTTGTATCACTGTTTTACTTACACTAAAGAAGATATATATATATATATATATATATATATAATATATAAATAAATACAGATGCATATATATATATATATATATATATATATATATATATTCAAATTTGGTATATTTTGGTGGGTGAAGTCAATAATTCTGGAAAATATATTTGTAGATATTTGGTAGCTAAAAAAATGTTTAGTTTATTAAGTGAAATATGAAGCTTTTTGCAACTTCTCATAATGTGGCTATTTGTCAATATGATTTATATGAACTTCCGAAGAAAAGACATACAAGAATGCAAATGATATCCCCAAAATGGAAGAGTCAATGAACAAGTCTACGTGTTGCGTGGTTTGATGACATGATAAATGTGTAAAGTAGTGTAAAACAAGAGTTAATACTAATTTTACAAATAATTTACTCATTTACTTTTTATTTTAAGTTTTATTCCTTAATGTTAGCCAAAAACAAAGGCTACAAAAAAGAGAAATATAAAAGTAAGTAAAATATTATCTTCATACATTTTTTGTTTGAATTTCTAAGATGAGGAATAATTATCATTATTATACATTCATCTATTTGGATTCTAACAATAATGATTAGGATATTAGTCCAGATAGTCCAATATATATGATACGGCACAAATGCCTCCTGCATATACCTCCCAGAAATGTCTTCTTCATAATGGTAGCAATTGTGTCTTCATCTAGCTAATGTCTTACCATTATGTATAAGGTATATGTGGGAGATATTTCTGCCACATAATGTATTATAATTTGATCTTTATTCTGATTTTTCATTATCATTATTATAAATTGATTGATTTGGATTATAACAACCAAGATTAGGATCTTAGTCCAGATAGATCATGACCAGCAATGGTATCTTCATCTAGCTAATGTGTTTATGTGAGAGATATTTTCTGGGTTATATATGTGGGAGGTGTTTCTGCTGTACACTGTATAATTAATACCTTATCCTTTATTTTGTTTTTTCAGAAACTGAAATTTTGAATTGATATTTTTGCTGAGAAGTCATCCTCTCTCACTGCAGAGATTCTGTCTTTGCAGTATGGATTTTCCAACATGGATTTATGGTCAGGTCAGGCTTAGGCTTGCTACTGGTAACATGTAACCCATTAGAACCAGCCACATACACATGTAGTTGGTGGCTAAACCAGCTCCCCTACTAGCTTTTCTGCTGGTGAGTAGGGTGGTATGTCACCCAACAGGATGAAAAAAAGACAATACCTTTTTCAAGGGTAGATGAGCTTTCTTATATAAGCCAACTTTTAACATTTTATATATATATATATATATATATATATATATATATATATAAAAGTTGTAGCCTCTGTTTGTCTGTTTGTTATTGAACTTCTCATAGGGTTTTGGAGATAGATTCCCATAACCATATATAGGCACAAATCTCTACTGAAAATGTTTATTTCCCTTTCATTTAAATTAATTTAAATTTGAACAAGGGAATGACTCCTATCCAAAATATAGAAGGAGTGAGCCAGAAGATGGAGGTCACATCGACAAGATCAAAATGAAACAATATGGAAGTCTAGTTGAGCAAGAAATCACCAATCAGTGGGTAGTGCATCACAATACATATTTGTTGCGGCAGTTCAACTGTCATATCATTGTTGAAATCCGCTCATCAATTCATTCAATCAAGTATTGCATCAACTACATATCAAAGGGGTCAGATCAAGCTGTTTTTCCACAAAACCCCACTGATATTTGTTCTCTTTGATTTAAATTTTCAACAAGGGAATTACTCCTATCCAAAATATAGAAAGAGAAAGCCAGAAGATTGAGGTCACATCGGCAAGATCATTGAATAATATTGAAATGCATCATTTTTCTCCACAAATTATAACAATGATTTAAAATCAATTATCATTTTTTTCTTTTTTCACAAAAATGTATTGCTAGTATTTTTTACTATAAAAACATATTTTTATACTTTCATAGTGTTTTGATCCCAAGTTGGGAGTTCACTATTTGCGCATAGCTGGGATCCTAACAAGTGTTACCAACCCGAATCAGGGTAGACCTAGGAACAGCAGCAATTACACACCCCAAAAAAACTCCTGATCAGAGGCCTTGCTGCTGGATGTAGTTTATCATCATACTCAAGATATAAACATTGCAAGATTTTAAGGAAGATGCAGGAAATGAGAAACTATCTAAAACTGTATGATTTGCTTATTCTTTGTTTTTAAATAGAAATTGATAAATATTGGCATTATGTTAATTTTAGAATTTACTACAGAGAAATTCATCAGAGAACCCCCACCTCCAAAATGTTTTAAGTAAGAATGGAAAATAAAATCATAAAAATAAGAAAGAATGGAAGAAATTGAAGCCATTCATGGAATTTGGTCCAACATTATATTTATAATTATAAATGTTATTTTAATGAAAAAAAAAAGATCATTATTATACATTGATCTATTTGGACACTAACAATCAAGATGAGGATATTAGTTTAAACAGATTACTGTATAATATTCTAATCTTTATTTTCATTATTTATTCAGAACCTGAAATCAAACTTACCAAGGGTTTGGGTTCAATCTTCTCACGAAGTAATCTATCCTCAGACAGTGAATATCGGGCATCTCCGGTAACAAAGTCTACCGGACCTTTTTCTACTTGTAACTTAATAGCTTTGTATAGTTTGAAGAGAGCTGGACCTGCATGCTCCTGCAAAGAAAAGAATGACGTAAGCAATCAATTTGAATTTTTCTTTTTTTAATCATTTCACCCCATACAAGTCAGTAAAGCCACTAAAACATAAGGAGTTACTGAGTGTGAAAGATGAAAGAGAAACATTAAAAAGTAAGAACAATAGAAGAGTAATAAAGAAGACAGTAGATAACGACTGACATTGTATTTAAATTTTTGAAGATCAAAGTTAGCTGGAAAGCATGGAGCCAGAAGAGAGTTTAACATGTTAGATGTGCAATAGAAGAAACTGTTAGCATAGAACATATGATTAGCAGTTAGGATGATTGTCATTGCAATTGGGTTCCAACAATGGAAATTACTTATGAATCAACCTAATACTGACCATTTTGTTTGTTCAAATAATCAAAAATGTATTTCTTCTATAATCTGTTTGGTAGATAAAATAACTAAATATACTGTTTAATAAATAAATGGGGTGTCTACTCAAATATGGATATCCACTAAAAATAATGTTTAAAATGATAAAATCTGTCCAATTAATAAATAAAGATAATAAAAAATTAATTATTTCTTTATATATATATATATATATATATATATATTTTTAAAGACATTTTTATGTTTAATGTTCTTTTATAGATACAAGTATTTAAGTAAATGCTGACTGTTTATAGGATAAACAGTATTAACATTACGCTTGACGTGCCTTGTCGAGAAATTTTCAAAGGATTGTTAGGTTGGCGCTGTTTATAAGGTTGAACAATCCTATAAGCCAACCCGCCAACCTAACGATCCTTTGTGGCCGAAAAGGTCAAGACACGCCAGTGAAATGACGGTTCCAGATCGGATGCAGGTTCAATCTTGTCAAACCTAATATTTTCTATGAAAATTTCTTTTGACATTCAGGCCGTATAAATGTTATTTAATACTGTTTATTATAAACAGAGCATTTACTTAAATACTTGTATCTATAAAAAGAACGTTAAACAAAAAAATGTCTTTAATAAATAGATTGTCGGACTTTGTCCATTTCTAATATATATATATATATATATATATATATATATATACATACATACATACATACACACATACATACATACAAGGGTAAGTAAAAAAAAATTATCTGCACTTTCACCATAGCATATTTTTATATAAGTGTGAAAAACTTTTTAGTTTTTCTCATATATATATATATATATATATATATATATATATATATATATATATATACATACACAAATATAGCATAGCTTAGATGTGGCACAAGTCCAAAAGTAGGGGGGCATCCAGTGAGGATTCGACTAACTACTCAGTTGTAATTATTCTAGTGAGACAAGCTCACTAACCATTACACCACGTCGAGGTGCCCCCCCACCACCACCACACACACACACATATATGTGTGTGTGTGTGTGGCTGTTAAAAAACAAGACTGGGTATATATAAGTTGAATCCCAGTGCACAGATAGAAACCACATAAATAAAAACTAAAAAATTATTTAATTAAATAAATTCAAATGAATTAACAATATCTAATTTTCTAGCAGGAGGCACGGTGGAGTAATGGATAGCTGCTCGGATTGAGGAATTGGACAGCTGAGTTTGAATTCCAGTTGAGTTCATTACATTCACATGATTGCCTAAGCATATATCACTCATGGTACATAACTGACTGAGTTTAATATCACATTTGTTTGTCAAATTGTATTAATAATTGTGAGCATGAGAAATCCATATTCCATCTTATGCTGCTTGTGTTAATTTAACACTAAATGCTTTTGGGAAAGGCATGAAATCACTTCTCTTGAAAAAATTCTCGACACTGGTATGCCCTGACCGTCAACAGAAAAAAGAAATGGGGAAACGAACATTGGATATATCATCTTCCAATATTTATCTTACCTGTTCAGATGGTGGTGAAAAAAAGCCATTGTAATCACTGTCATTCTTGATAGTAGAAGAGTCAGTTTGCAGGTTAAATTTCAGAAAGTATATTGGCTGTGTGAAAAAGTTTCCAGCAATCTTTTTTGAAAACTTATAAGTGAAAAACTTTTGCACACATCTAGTAACTCGTTCTGATGCAAATTGATACAGGATATATGAAACATACAGGAGCAAAAAATGATTGTGGATAACAAGAAAATGGAATTTACCTTAAGGTACTTATATAAACATATTGACAGCCAGTTTGTTAGAAGTTTTTCTACCACTGATTCTGTCCTGTAAAAGAAAAAAAAATATCTCAATAACTGAATTAAAATTCTTTTTTTTTTTAATTCTTAAATTTTGTATGGGTCACTCACTAAAGATTGAACTCACTCTTTAGTAGCAATGGTTAGGTTGGTTGATTTTACAACATGTCAACCTTTGTCTGGTTATTTAAATCTTGAATTTTGCATGGGGAATACACCGAGGGTCAAATTCAACACTCAGCAGTAATTCAGCCAGACTAACCTCGGTAACCATTTCCTGATGCTAAGACACATTTGTATTAACTATGAAAGTAATGCCCAAAACCATGATTTTGTCAATCTTTTTTTAATTTAGAATCAAGAAATATGATTTATTTTGTTAATCTGACATTTATTTACAACAAATTTTGAGAATTGTTTTTTAAGAAATGTAGATTAATGGAAAATACCAGGAATATTTGAAATCACACACATGACAACATTCCCAAAATCAGCAAAAGAATACTGAAAATGTATTTTTTTTTTGTATGTAATAACACTTCAAGACCAGAATCAATACTGAGGAGAGTGCTGGTCTATCGAGTAGATTAACTGTTATCTGATCTCCAAGAACAACCGCCAGATATGATTGGTATCAAACAAGTACAAACAATAAATAAAATACTGAGAAAGAAAAGATCTACTATTTCTACTACTACTACTGCTGCTGCTGCAGTTATTGATGATGTTTTTAGTAAAGAAAAAGAAGAAAAATAATTATAGCAAAAAATTAATAGTCTAAAAGAAGAGAAAAACTGATGATGATGACGATGACACTGGTGATATCAATTTTATAAACAGTGAGGTAGTCCCCCAGACCCCAAGGCATATTTTACTACCTTCAGACACCAACTCCAAAAGACTTGAAAAATTTAAAATATTCCTAATTTATTTGTTATTTCTTGGATTCAGAAAGCAAAAAAAAAAAAAAAAGCAAAAATTATATTAACTCCCCCACCCCAAATTTAGTCGATTTCCATTTTATGATAATCTCTTTAGGCAATTAAATAAGGGAAAAAAATTACTGATATTATCCTGAGGCTACAATTTGCTTGTCTAGGTGAGAACATTCAGAGGGCAAAAGTTCTGCAATTGGTTCAAAGATATTTCCCATCTTCCTTTGGGTTTGATTTTCTTTTTTTAATACTTCTTTTTTTTCTCCTGTTAATTTTGACTTTTAAGCAAGCAGATTTTTGGGAAGACTGACACTTACCTTCTCAGCATCAATTTTGGATGACGGCTAGCGACTGATTTCTCTACAAGTTCATCAAGTAGAGATTTCAAAATTCTGCAAAAGAGAAAGAATTTCATGACACAACAATGGCCAAGAAAATGGGAAAAACATACCAAGAACAACTGTTAACATAAGATTATTATAATTATAATGTGCTGCCAAAAATTCTGAGGTTATGGTTTTATTTTTATTTACTAATATTCACCCAATACAAACCCCAAGAGACACTCAAGGCAGAGTGTTATTGAATGAGGTTGGTATATAGATGCAAAAGGAGGAAGGTTTGGTTTGGTTTGTTTTATGGCATATCATCTTCAATGGGTTATTTAGTGCTGTCAAGATTTTTATTGCAGGTAATATTTTTTCCAAAAAGTATTTCTGGTAATATTTTTTTAAAAAATATATTGGTGGTAATTTTTTTTTTTTTTTTAGAAAAATATATTGATGGTAACAATGTATTGCTGGTAATAGTTTTTCCTTAAAAATTTATTGCTTGTAATAATTTTTTATAAAAATGTATTGCTGGTTATTAAAACCTATTTTTCCATTTTCATATTGTTTTAGCCACAGTTTGGGGGTTAACTATTTACCCATAGCTGGTAACCTAACAGGTGCTACCACCGTGGATCAGGGTAGACCTGGGAACACCAGCAATTAAGAGGTGGTTCCATGCTCCTTAAAACCTCCTGATAAGAGGCCTTGCTGTTGGATGTAGTTTATTGTCTTACCCAGGATGCGGATGTAGTTTATAATCTCACCCAGGATGCAGATGTAGTTTATTGTCATACCCAGGATGGGAGAAGGAAGTGCGTGCATATTATATGTAGGATAGATAAAAGTTGACTGCAAACTTGAAAAGGTTAAGATTGCAGTGATTGGGGAAGCATCCTCTTGGGAGTTGGTTTCCACAAAGCTGAGGTTCATAGGAAAAAGCTACTCAAGTGGAACTTACATCTCACCAATAGAATACAAAAAGAATGAGGATGGTTCCCTAAAATGTGCATGGCATGGCAGGTCTTAGACATGAAGGTTAGAACTGGTGGAACTAAAGAATATAGTTTGTCTGAAGACTTTTCATGAAAATAGCAATAAATCAGTGAGATACTTGCAACATTTTGTCTGTGGGAAATGGGTTGTAGGGTGGAAAACAATTCATTATCCACAAGGACAGAGAGACACTTTTGGATTCTATTAAGACTTGAAAGTGAAGACTGGACAGCTCCTGGTCATATATGGTAACAGTACTCCATTTTCAGCCTGATCTGGCTCTTGTAAAGGTAGAGGATAGCAGGAGGAGTCGGGTACTTGCTGGAGCAGTACAAGGAACTGAATATTTTTCCAGTATTTTTAGCAGTGGATCATATGTACAAGTTCCAATTGAAATCTGGGTTGAGTTTTAGTCTTACTAGGTACTCAAGGCAATGGCCCCTCTGAGATATTATGGAGTGAGGTCAGATATATGTCCTGGGTATAAGGTGACTCAACTTAGTATGTCAGACTCATGGAATATTTTGAACCATATTTGGAGAAAGAAAAGAAAGTGAATTTTATATAAACAACTATATATAATTTGGCAAAATCTATAAAGATAGAAGTTAAATTGAAGTTCATTCAAATAAAAGAATACTTACTCTGTGGCATACTCCATATTATTTTGATAAATTATTAGCAGCAATGATGCAACATTTACTCTGAAATAAAAGAAATCATAGAAAATATTAACGTTTTTCACTGACATGAAGTAGAAAGATTATATTGAATCAATTGCTAGGTCTGCTGCTAGGAAAGTTGGTTCACTGTGTCATGTTAAACAATTTTTCTCCTTAGAATCTACTTTAAACATTTATATATCTACCATCTGTCCATGCATTGAATATTGCTGCCACATCTGGTCTGGTGTTTCTGCTATGTATTTAGAGATTATAGATAAAATACAAAGATGAATCTGCAATGTTATTGGTCTTGACCTGGCATCTTGGCTTCAGTCATTTTCCCACTGCTGTAACATAGCTTTCCCATGCTTTTTCTATAAATATTTTCATGGTAATTGTTCTGATGAACTTTCCACTATGGTACCTAGACTTTATGAATTTAAATGCAGTACAAGATTGGTAGCAAGGTCTCATCATTTTACAATTGAAATTGCTAGATGTAACTTTAAGTTCTATCTTGACAGTTTCTTCATTTGCACTTCTTCCTTGTGAAACTCCCTACTGTCTTCTTGTTTTTCAGTCAACTTTGAGCTACAAAAAAGTAAATGCAGTGCCAATTGTTATCTTCTGTCTTCTTAATTCCTGTTCTTTTATTGTTCTCTCTCCTTACTAATGTTTTTTTCTCATATTCTCTCACACTCAACCTTTGCATCTTAATGGCTTTATTGCCTTGCATGGGGTGAAATGATTTAAAAAAATGAACCCTCTTTACTGGTATACCAATGCTACCAACTACTAAAATACCATTCTTCTTCAGTATATAAGCAATCATGGCTCTCCACAGATTCCTTTTCTTTATTATCTGTGAATTATCATGACTTCTTGGGAAAGATAGTGGAGTAGTTTCCTATAGCTTTTTCTAGAGTTTTGAAATCAGAGATTTTCTTCTGTTAAACTGTTTACAACTCTATCTGTAACAGGTGCAAATTGTGGAACTCAGTTGTGAATTTCCCATCGTGATAAACAAATGACCAACCTAAACATTTTAGATTGATCAAAACAGTAATAAAAGTGTGCTCAACAAGGTGTTAGGTTTACCTGATGATTTATGTGATGAAGAGGCTGAATATGAAACTGCCTTGAGAGAGTCAGAAACAAGTGATAATTGTGATATTTATTAATGTGAGCTCCAAAGAGGGGAATACAAGAGTTTGAAATGTTAAATCATTCTTTATTTAATCACTTTAACCATTTTTTACAGAATATCTAAACTATCCTGGAATAGCAAGCTACTGGTCAGAACTGTGATGAACCAAACAAAGTGGGAATGGTTTGGACCCCAGCGGTGTGGAATTCTGTCGGTGATGGATTTCCTTTGTTTAAGTTTTGATATGAAGCCAAAAAGGCATGAAGACAACTGCAAAAATTAGAAGAGTCAAGATGTCTCACTGCATTCAGATTCTTTAGCAAGGCAAGCCAGCATGTGGCAATGATTTCCTCAGAAAATAAAGCAAGTAAAAAAAAAACGTCCATTATGGATGCAGTCTATGAGATAGTATTGGGGCCTGAAGAATTGAATCCAAAGACAACATGAAACACAAGATTTTCTTTTATTGCTGCAATGACCAGAACCTTCATTGCAGAAGTATTGAAATCAGAAAGCTGTAGTTCAAAGCATGGGATTTTTTTTTGCTTCAAATTTCTAACTGAATTTTGCAAGTCTTGGTTCAATTCACAATCAAAGAGAGGAACTTTCAAACATTTGTGGAGATAATGAGACAAAATGGAAAACCTATTCAAGCTATGCATTCTTTATAGTAGATGTCTTTGGGCTAGAATGAGAGACAAACTCTTGTGTAAGGAAAGTACATTGGAATATGAGATAGAGGTAATATTGCTATTGCCAGAAAGTTTTTTTTCTGCTTGTATTGAAGTCATTAATGTCTGCTGGGTTTCAAATTAGCCAATTCCAAGTAGATTGTTTTTTTTCTTCTCTATTAGTTCATATACTGCATTGTGCTACTAATGCTTGTGTAATGTTCAGTGGTTGTATATGAGCCCAGTCTGACATTGTAGAGAATTGCAAGATCAGTATATGGAGAATTATGAGATTAGTGATATTTTCAAACTGAAATTGGTTTCATGTTTATAAGACAACTGTTTGTCAAGACTAAAGTAAAAAACACTTTGATGCTCATATATTTTTTTATATAAATAGAAAGCTTTTAAGTGGTACACTAAAATGAAATGAATAGATGTGGAAAACATTATATAGATTCATAGATCATAACATGTATTGAGTCATAAGTTATTTCCACCTTTTGGGAACCAATTATAATGGCAAATGTATCATTCTAAATACTAATCATACATGACCGTTAAGAATATATATTTAAAGTACACTAACATACCTGAGATTTTGTATGGTAGTGGCAGCATACACTGTTGATTAAAGGAAAACTGTTGTTCTTCATGACATTGACAAGTCATATACAGCAAGAATAATGCAGGAAAAGCATTTTGAAATTCAGTTGGTCTTTTTTTACACCCCCACACAATTTCTATATTCCCCTGAGCTCACACCAACTGATTATAACCTTTTGAAATTGCCGTAAAATGTTTTGATGGGAAAAACTTTCTCAAATAAAAACCAGATTCAAGATTTCATCAAAAATATTTTCACATTAAAACCTGCAAAATTTTATTCAAATGTATCAAATAGCTGCCTGATAAGTGACAACAAGACATTGCAAAAAATGTTGCATATATAAATGAATAAAATATAATTGTACTTGATTTTTCAAAAGAATAAGTTGATAAACAAAACTGGAAATAATTTATCACTCAACCTAATAAATTTTAAACAAGGAACTGAAGTTTTCTAAATTAAAAGCAAAAATTATTAACAAAATATAAAGAAGATATTTTCACATGTGTCTTGTGTTTGATATTGAATAATGTTACTTACTTATCTCTGATACTAAATCCTTTCTGACATTCCAGTGTGCGGATAAAAGTTAGTAAAAAGTATTTATTGTTTAGGAGATGATTGAATTGCTGGAGTCCAGTTTCCATAAAAACCATTCCAGGGGATCTCTGCAACAAAAATTAATAAAAAAAATGAATGAAGTGTTTGGAATGGTAAGAGAAATCAAAATATCTAAGATGCCATGTTTTATTTTTTTTTTTCTTGAATATTACACTATTTCTATTTGTAGAAGACAGCAAGATCATTTAACTTATTTTTGTCATTGTGCATTTTTCAAGCTGATACATCTGTTGGCAGATGGGTGTTTCTATTCAGGACCAGCATATACTACCCCTAAAACTCCTTGACTGGGAGGTGAGAGGCCCAAGTCTGATTGGAGGTCCTGAGCAGTGCTTTGAGACCTTTGCTATCTTATCAACATTCGCTTTTTCTACCTACATTTATGTATGTTACAAATTAAACTAAGCCTAACTTACTATAACTTACTATTAAGGGATGAAAAATTTAATGGATTTTGATGTCATTCTGGGTTTTTTTTCATTTTCTCTTCTGAATATATGAAGTTTTTTTTACTTACACTAAGTCTCAAAAAAAAAAAAAAAAAAAAAAAAACACTATATAAAATTCACTATTTTTTATCCATAAACTCAAATGTGATAAATTATTCAACTTTTTTTAACAAGGAAAATCTCAGGGTTGATGTTAAAAATTGCCATAAAACATTGTTGATTTATTTAAAATGGAATGACCTATTATGACATGGCTCTAATTTGTATTTAGATACATTGTATTTATTTTCAATTTTTCTAATTGAATTGTTCACCTATATTGCATATGATCCACTATTGTACATAATTAGGTTATAATAGAATTTGTATTTTATATGAATACTACCTTATGAAAATTGAGATGTAGCAGATTGGGGGGGGGGCACCATATCATAGATTCAGAGGGGAAGCAAGAAACCCTTGCACTGGCCCTAGAAACCCTTGCACTGGCCCTAGATATCTCTAGATAGGTGACAGAGCCTAAAGAGCTTCCCTCTGCTAATTAGGTGAGCACTTTTGACAATGTACTAGCACAAAGATCAATGGCTTCCAAACAGTTTTATCTTGAATAGGGGCAAGAGATCAAACATCTTTATCTTGAATAGGGGCAAGAGATCAAACATTTTTATCTTGAATAGGAGCAAGAGACCAAACATTTTTATCTTGTACAAGGGGCAAGAGATGAAACATTTTTATCTTGAATAGGGACAGGTGACCAAAATTTTTATCTTGTACAAGGGGCAAGAGATGAAACATTTTTATCTTGAATAGGGGCAGGAGACTAAACATTTTTATCTTGAATAGGGGCAGGAGAACAAACATTTTTATCTACCCAGTTTCATTCACAAGTTTTGTTTCAATTTGTGATGTAGTTTTTTGGCCCTTCCCAACAGTATGGTATGCTGAGGTTATTTCTCTAGGATATTATAAAGAAACAACCTCTTTGACTAATCAATCATGGTGAGATTAGAACCTAGCTCTCCTCATTAGGATGCTGATTTTTATTTCTTGATTTGAACCCAATTTAAAATTTGGTAATTGCCTAATTTTGGAAATAAGCTACCTTGAAATTTAGATATTTTCATCAATAAACCAGTACCTAGAAATAAAAATATGTTTCTTTATAATTCTGACCGTAATTCAATTGTCAAGGAATTGGTCTCTTATTTCCTGAATGTCTACAGTAGCCCCTTTTGGAAATTTGTCATTTTTAGCAAGCAAGTTTCACAAATCCTAAGTGATGTTATGAATTCAATCTTTACTTGTTACTTCTTATTGTGACCTTGTGCCAGACTAAGCTAAGCTTATAGAATACCTAAAAGGCACATATAAAACAACAATAGCATGTAAGTATATTTTGTAGACCAATGCTAATGTAATGAATTCAGTTCTATGTGACCCCATGCTAGACTTGGTTAAACTTAGTAGATACATACATTTTAGTGGTCATAAGGTAAGTGTTAGTAGGGTCACCTTACAGATATAGTAGTGGGTTTAATCCCTCTGATGCTCTACTACTTTATGTGCAATGAGTTTAATCTTCATTGGACGCTTTAATATTATGGTCTTGTGCCAGACTAAGATTAATATATACTGTCATTTGTAGTGTTTTTTTCCTTCTTTTCATTACTGAATAAATTTCTATTTTTGAAAAATGCACTAGATTCACCACATACAGAAATTACTCTTTCCCTTAATGAGAAGAAAGGCTTTTCTGCAAAATGTTTTAATTAACAGATTTAGAAATAGGTCCACTGGGACTGCTCAGATCTTGTTGACCAAATTCTTGAGAATTTGACATTTTCAAAAACTCCTTTTATCCCATTTGCACATAACGTTTTCATAGAGACATATTTTTCTTTGATAATTAAAATGAAATTTTTTAAATCGAAAGCGGTTCTATTTTTGTTCTTAGCAAAAGAAAGTAAAACTGAGAAATTGCATTATAATACTCACCCCGACCATCCTCTCAGTGTGAGGGTGAAGAATTGCATGATCTGTGACTCCAGGGAAAAGAACTTTGAAAGTGTAATGGGAATAATCCCAAACTGGGAACCCACTTGGGAGAAGGTCACTCGTCAGGTCAGTAACATCTGTTTGCAGTTCAGCAAATGCTGGAAAGAAAGAAAAACAGATGATTGAATTATTTGTTTTTCATTTTGAAAAGTAAAAATAACATGGTATAAAATGTCACCATGTGAGGAGGTGCTGAAAAGTACTTTACTCGACTGACTTCCCAAAATCAGTATTTGAATGACCAAACATCAGATTTGCAGGTAAGGGAATCAGACTGAGAACTTTTCATCATCTCCTTGTATAATTAATTTCTGACTTATTTTGTAAATAAGTATTTAAATTTTTCATTCATAGTGGTTCTCACAGCATAGATTTTAATAAGCTGCCATGGGGTGCAGATTTTGGGGAAAATAATATGAGGGGGTGCTGAAATATCTTTAACCCAAATACACGTTCCAAAATCTGACTAAATGACCAAACTTCAGATTTATTTTTTTTTTTTAGAGGGAGGGGGCACTTTTTGGTTGGATCAAAACATTTTCAGCACCCCTTCATATTTACCTACCAATTTGATGCCTCTAACAAAAAAATTATCAATATATATCCCTCCTTTATTTTATAAAATATTTCTTGTTTTCAATAAGCTGTATCAAAAATATTTTCATTTTTTTTTTTTTTTTACAGTTCTTTACTTTCATGAGTACATAAAGACAATTTATGATTCTACTATTACTATGGTGACAATAATAATAATAATAATAATTAGTGAAGGACTGCTGAAAACCTTTCAGTTTGACCAAGAACTTAATAAAAACAAAACACATGTGGGTAAAGTAATATTGTGATTGTGTGTGTCTCCTGTAACTTATTAAAGTCCTAGAAGCACCACATTTACTGTAGACATAGTAACAATTGTGTGTCTTGGGCAAGATAGCCTGATGGAGCTGAATCCTCTTCATGTTGGGTTTGAATTCAGAGTTTCAAAAGGAAGATATTTTTTCTTACAAGGGCATTAATGTGAAATGTATGAAACAGAATCATGCAGGAATTATCCAAACCTCCAAAAGGTAATATATCGTTTAACAATTACATACCTTGTTTGCATTCATTTCTAACATTGCTTTCCAAGTTATCAAGCTGAATCTGCATCTTCTTGTATCTCCTCTCGGCCTGTGTGCTTTTCCGCCAATAGATAATCATTGTCAAAGAGATGAGAATGACGACAATGAAGCCTGCGGCTGCAATGCCAATAATAATATTCTTGGGAAGAGACATTCCAGTATCGTATTCCAAGTAACCAATGTCAAATTTTTTATAACCTATTTCCACCTGGAGTTAAGAAATGAAAAGAAATTGATATTAATAAAACATTACATATTTTACAAGTATATGAATTAGCAAGAGATTTTAAATTTGTGTGCGGAAGGTTGAGAAGGTGAAATATTGGTCTTGTACAAAATATTCAACTCATCCACAAAAACAAAAAAGGAAAGAAAAAGAAGAAATTAGATAGAGTGTAAATTTAAAATTCTTATATTCCAGAAATTGTTCTTTTTTTTTTTTTTCTTAAAATTAATCCAGTTTCTACTTATAGAGACTTTTCATACAAAGTGTGTTAATATCTAAAAAGATTTGTTTTTTCAAACTCAATGAAGATCTATTTCAAACTTAAGTAAAGGAAACAAATACTTTCATATAGCTGTTGGTGTAATAAAATAATTTTCTTCCATTTCATTGCCAAATCCTTTGATTAGTATTTCTTGAATATTAACCTTGAGCACTCTGTATTATTAATATTACTTACATTTCCACTATATTATTTTTCAAGGCCTCTCAATTGCAGTATCCTTATTGTTAATTTCACTTAAAGTTGTTTTCTGTTGCCATAGCAGGATATAATAACAAAACTATGAAATTCAAACACACTATTGTTCAAGGATCAGCGTCACCTTTAGTGGTAGGATAAACATTTTTTACAGCAAATGAAGTCACAGAGTGATAAAGGTTAAACTTCAAAGTAAAATTAACTAAAGATAACAACTAATCTTCTCACTTGTCCCTTTTATGATAAATGAAAACAATTTTAATAAATGAAACTAATTATATATATATATATATATATATATATATATATATATATATATATATATATATATATATATAGTGAAAAAGTTACTTTCCTTACACTGGAAAAAAAACCCCAAAAAAAACACATGAACTTTGAAATCTAGAATGCTGCATAAACAGTAAAAACGAACAGTTGAAATGTTTTGAATATACAGAAATACATATAAATGCTCACAGACAACTTAATCCACTGAAGATGGTTTCAGATGAGATTGAAAGTACTTGGAAAATAAAAACTGAAAGAAAATTTTGGTATTTTTCTTAATCAGTTTTCTAAGACTACCAAGAAATTAATCCGTGAACTTGAAAGGATCACAATGAAAACTAATTGACATGATATGACTAGATTATTTAACCAGACCCGTTTGAATGTATGCATGTGTATATATATATATATATATATATATATATATATATATATAAGCATATCTGACTTTAAAAGTTTATTTATTTACAGAGCAAATTGCAATTTAAGAGTTTGTTTGATATTATTTCTAGTATAAATATTATAGCATTCCTATTATGTCATCAGGAAAGTTCACTAGATAGAGATGAGCAATTCATCTTCGATTTATGTATTGGACTCTTCTGGTGTTACTCACATACACTTATAGATATACACTGCATTTTATATATATGATTATTTTGTCCAACTCTTTAAAGAAAGACATTTTATATTTTTTAAATACTTAATATTTAAAAAACAAACTTGATTAAATTAGTATTTTTAAAAACTTAATTAAATTAATATTTTTAAACACTTAATTGAATTAGCATTCTTTAAGCATGTAATTGAATTAATATTTTTAAACACTTTATTAAATTAATATTTTTTAAAAAGGTGAACTTACTAATTAGTATTACTATTAACAATCTTCAATTTGTAATCTTGCAATGTTATTTAGAAAATTTTACAATTCTTTCACTAGCTTTTATTTTGGCACATTTTATAATGAAATTTTAATTCTGCACTAGAGATATGAATGAGTACTTACTATAACGGCAGGCAAGGAATTATCTTTCCCTTCTCCATCAGGCTGATGTTTGGGTGGACGGCACACCAGCTGATGAATAGACAATGTTGTTATATTGCATCTTTCATTGCCAATGCGAACTATAACATCAGATTCCCGTGCCGCTAGATTCAAATTCTTTCCCTGCAAAGAGAAAACAATTATTGGTATTACACTAGACTTCCTTTATTTGTATAAAATAAAATTGATATTAATAAAATATTGCATATTTTACAAGTACATGAATAGTAAAAGGAGCTCTTTTTGATTTTTAAGGTGGAAGGTTGAAAATTTGGATGTGTAAAATATTCAACTTGTCCACAAAGAAAGAGGGAAGGAAAAGAAGAAAACAAAGATAAAATAGATAAAAATTTGTATATTCCAGAAATTGTTGAGGTGTTTCACAGAAATTGTTTTTCCGGTTTTTATTTTAGTCCAGTTTCTTTTTATGAAGAGAGTTTTCATATGAGTGGAAATAGTATAGACACAGGAAGATTTCTGACTACTTTGATTCAAACTGTTACATCTATCTGCCACTTGGACTCAAACTGTTACATCTATCTGCCACTTGGACTCAAACTGTTACATCTATCCGCCACTTGGACTCAAACTGTTACATCTATCTGCAACTTGGACTCCACATTACTTGCATACTTGATACGTTGTCCTTTTATGTATATCTAGTACATAGATGTAGTAGTAGGCACCAAATGCATGCAAATATTTAACAGGAAAATGTTTGGCTCAGTTTGAATGCATGTTACTTGAAGAGTACAACATTTCTAATAACTTAATAACTATATATATTAAAAAGCTGAAACTTTGTAGATTAATAATTTAATATGTTTTAAAATTTGTGAAATTCTTTTCTTTCTCCATAAATGTTATATTCCATGATAATAGGAAAAACCAGGTGGATCAAATAAGTAAAGGTTTATTGCAAAAAAACAGTACAATAAGAATAAAGATAACAGTTATGCACAAGGTCGTCGCAAGTCAATCCAGTAGTGAGTGCTATTATTGGAAGGTTGGTAGTTCTTGCGTAAGTCTGAGTTGTACTCAACAGATCCCAGCTAGTTGATATCCAGCAACTGCCCCATGCAGTCACATGTGGCACAAGGCCGAATTTAATGTGGAGTTCCCAAGTACGTAGGCTCAGCCAAAAATCCTCGTAGACCCAGCATAAAGAATATCTGGTCTGTCCACCTCCCCGGATGAGACTCTGCCCTTTGACATAGCCTCGTCCAAGCTCCTCTCTGCCTGAAGGCAGATAGTTCAACCAGCACAGCTAGAAAAGATTCCAGCTAGTCTCTGTAGTTCGTTGACTTACAGATACTTATAGGTAGTTACTACCTATAGTGTAATCACTCATGGAGGTGACAGGTTATTCCATTACATCAATAAATTATGATTTAATTAAATTTTATTTTAAGTAGGTATCCACTTAGTAGGGACATCATATAATTAATAATTTTCAGTAAAAAGTCATTTAATTTTATCTGAATGTAATCAATAGAATATGTGGTAAGGACTTGTCTATTATAATTTGAATCTGTTTAATTTGTTTGTTGTACAAAAGCTTAATTTATATACATTTTTAAATTTTTTTCCACAAACAATACAATATATTACAAGGCTCCTAAAACTATGAATAGAACTGAACCCTATATATGTACAGTTTTGTCCTATAAAAACCTATGAGAAAGTTTAGTTTATAAATTAGGCACAAAAATTGACAATAATGACTAATAGAACAGAAGAAGAAAATAAGAAGAGGAGGGGGAAAGAAAGGAGTAAAAGGAGAAAGGATAATAAAAAAGGAAGAAGAAAGGAAAGAAATGGTATAATAGAAGAAGATTATATTGCACCAAAATTTTAAGTGAGGAGAGACTGTATATGTCTTGAAAAAAGAAAGAAAATCAGAGAAAATGGTTCAGTAGAAAAGAATGTAAGTCAAAAAAGAAAGAAAGAGTGTTGATTGATTAACTGATTTGTTTTATGATATATCAACCCTTAATGAATTATTTAATACCAAAACATCTTCAAATTTTGGATTTTATATTGGTTAAATATTTTTATGCTTTTTTGTATAAATTTTTTTTAACATTAAGATTATAATAATTATGTTTGTTTATATAGATAAAAATTTCCAATATTTTAAAAATGTTTGATATGTTCAGTTTCAATTTTGCTATTGTTGTATAAGAGTAAGTTGTCAACACTGTGGTTTGAAATTAGATCACCAGTGAGTAACATGGGTGATTCCATTATTAAGTAGATCACATGTTCATAAAAAAGTAAATAAATAGGAAGTAGCATGATGACTATATGATCACTGTTCACTCTTCTTGTCAATCCACTATTGCTATACATTCACTCTCTCTATTTTACTACTATACAGATTATGGTTCTCTTTTGCTCATTATACTATTTGGCGATTACTACTTGAACAAGTATTACTAGTGCAGATATTATTGGAAGGCATTACTACTAGTACTGGTGTCTACAAAATCTCGAATACAATGAGCATTTTTTGAAGTGATAACGAGCTTTTGTTTGACATAACAAAAGTGACAAGGAAAGCCGTCCAACATCACAAAAGCTATGTATATATAAATTTATCAAAGTTATATAAATTTCAAACTTATATCTTTCTAGAAAAGTTCAACCTTTTTTAAAAAATTGTAAAATGTTACTTGGTTTTACATTGTCAAAAGGCTCTTTTAGTTTGGTTGTACCATCATACTTTTCATGGATGAGTTTGAAGTCAACCCATTTTGTCAATATAAGCTTTACTACATATGTTTCCAGATATATCGTACACATTGGAAAAAGGGAAATGAAAAATAGAAAGAATTAGACAAGAAATAGAGAAATAAAGAAAAAGATTTCAAATGAAAGAATAAGAAATGCATTGAAAAAAAAAGCAAAGAATGAAGAACAAAGGACACATGGCACAGTGGATAAAGGTATTAGTTAGATCCAGTGACAGGACCCAAAGAGTGTGAATTCAATACCCGGTTAAGGCAGTGGAGAACTTGGAGAGGGGAATTAACAGAAGATAACTGACATCCATTAGACATGGCATGTGGAACTAGAACAGTCTACCCCAGTGAGTGAAATAAACAGTTCAGTTCAACATTCGAACCACCTGAAGAAGGCCGGAGCATACAACGGTCGAAATGTTGTAATAAATATGGCAACAAAGATGAGGACAATAGTCTGAATAATGTAAATAGTGTACATAATACCTCATCTCAGAAATATAGACAGATAATGAAAAACAAAGTATGAAAGAAAGAAAAATAAATTTTGAAAATACGACAAATAGATAAAAAGAATCAATATTAATAAAATGAGAGAGAGAGAGAGAGAGAGAGAGAGAGACAGAGAGAGAGAGAGAGAGAGAGAGATAAACAAGTATACTTACATCAATAATGAGAACTTCTGCTTTAAGCCTTTTAATTTTATCCATGCCATTAAAATTGTAAATGACAGGGTCAGTGTAATAGTGAAGCATTGAATCCAAATTTCTATGCGATTCATTCAAATGCTGAACAGACTTCACATCATCCATTAGAAATGCCAGTTGTTCAACATGTGACTTCACTGCAGCTCTTCGAGTAATATGATGATTAAGGCTGATTGGACAAGGAGGACTTGGACAGTACATTGTTGTCCTATTCATAACTGTGCAGTTCTGGAATTTTAAAGAGGAAAACATATAAAGCTGACAAAAAGCATGAAGATAATTTTTTTTATAGCTACTGGTGTAATAAAAGAATTTCTCATTATTTATTAGCAGATAAGATGTAAGAACAATCTTGATAACTATTGTCTTCCTGTTTATAACAATATGCCTGGCTTTAATGCAAATTTTATTTAACTCAAAGTAATTAGCAGAAAATTTTGAAAAGAATGGTTTGTCATTTTACAACAAAAAGTTATATCTTAATGTTGCTTGCTTTAATTTTTTTTAGAAAATATCTGAAAAAAAGCAAAAAAAACAAAATGGATAATGGACACATTAATATAAGATTTAATTTTGTTTTTGACTTAATTCTTTAAATGATAGTTATCAATATAAATGACTAAATAAGGAATGGGATAAGATCAAAGTGCTACAACTGTTCTTTCAATAGCAATAAAAATAAATCAGATAATTGTATTTATGTCTTAACAATTATATCTAGCTGAATTAACTAGTTTTTTAAGCCTCATTTTAAAGGTTCAAATGAAAAATAAAAAAGTGGAAAAAATTAACCCCTATGAACTAAAGTGTCTAAGTCTATACATAAAATTGAACAAAAAGTATCATTTATTTATATTGTAAACTAAACAAAGTATTAAGAAACAAGAAAAATTCATTGAAAACAAAGAACTGCTATGCAATATTAATCCTCCTGTATGACTGTAAATGTTGGACAATTTCATCACAGAGGAAGAGAAGACTGAAGACAACAGAAATGTGGTTCTACAGAAGGATGTTGTGAATACCATGGATGGATCATGTAAGCAACAAGGAAGTTTTAAAGAAAATGGAAACAAAAAAGACACTTAGAATCAAAAAGAGACAGTTTAAATTTCTAGGACACATAATGAGGAAGAAGAGCTTGGAAAATTTGATACTCACAGGACAAATTGAAGGCACGAAAGGCAGAGGAAAACAGATAAATATTTAAATAACTCAAATAATTATTGAATTATCAGGTTGACTGAATTATAGACTTAACAATTTGACAGAAACAACAGAGAGAGAAGCAAATAAAATTGGTAACAAATAGAAAACCTTGAAATATGGTATACTGTACATAGAATCAGAAAGGAACAGTTGAATTTTATAGGACACCTAATGAGGAAAGAGGACTTGGAGAATTTAACACTTACAGGACATATTGAAGACTAGAGGGACAGAAGAAATCAGCAAGTAACCAACTTAATGAGCTTGTGCAAATGGATGACAGAAAAGAGGGAGATTAAAAAGACAAATATTGCAAAGAGCTAAAATAAATAGGTAGTTGTAGAGAGCTATGATCATCCCCATATTTAAAGGATGTGACACATGGAAGAAGTTATTATATCATAGCTTTTGATACAAGATTATTTACTAAGATTATTTTAGTCTGACACAGGAGCATAATAATGGAGCATTCAGTGCTTTGATCTGATGAATGAGCTTGTTAAACATGTAGATGCTGGATTTGATGTCTCTTGCTTAAATACAAACAAAACTTATCTTGGTTTAGAACAAGAGACAAATAGGTCAGGGGACTCGTGAGGATTGAATTCATTTGCACTAATTATCTACCAGACTTGTTTGTTTAACATCATTTTACTTCGGGACTTCTTTAGACAATTTAATATGGTAGATTATTGTTTTTTTTTTATTTTATTTACCTCATAATTTGTTTTGTTTGGGATAGTGTTACCACTTGCAATGTAGATCTTGGGATACTTCACAGCATGTAAGTTTTTCCCAGTTATTGTCAGGTTCATTCCACCACTGAAAAAATACAAATAAATTCATTAGTAAGTTCTAAAATTAAATTACAAATTAAAAATATTTTGGAAAGTGTTGAGTGAACAAATATATGAAGAAATATACTCTTAAGGTGTACTATATTTATGGGGTAAAGTACTCAGTATCAGAGACAGAGCATGTGTAAATATAAAAGTGAACATTGAAGTCAACACTTGTGGCCTGACGATTGTGTCTAGCATGAAACAGCCTGTCGCCTCTAAGTGTTGACTTCACTTTTATATATCACTTTAAACATTATTTTTAGTAGATACCCATATTTTGAGTAGATGTTCTGTTTATTAAACACTATATTTACTTATTTCTGTTTACTAGCCTGATGGAAAAATCTTATTAAATAAAAGATGTGCCCTTTAGCAGGATTAAAATCTGCATCCCCTTTGCAGGAGAAAATTGTTATATATATATATATATAAAGATGATCCTAGTCATAAGTTTCACACTCATGTGATATTCAGATGATTTGAATGACTATCCACACTGTAAAGTGCTCAACAGCTAGATTACCTAGACTGTGGAAAAACATTTGTCAATGTTAATCCTATGAAATGTTAATTCATCTGAAGATTGGGTTATGGTCAAGTAGTAGAACAGACTGGTGCCTATAGACTTGGATGGTCATCACTCAAGTAGAAGGCCAACTTTGAATTCAAAACACAGTATATTTAGGCAACAATCATTTGTTTAAACATGCTTTATTAAATAGAATGAACAGGGAATGTCTGCTGAGCACAAAAGATATTCCAGATTTTATATACATATAAAGGGTGTCCCAAAAATGTACTCACTTTTTGGTATCATATTTATAAACATGCATTTAATTTAATTTTTCAACATTCCAACTACCTGAAGAAAGATGCAGTGTACAATGGCCGAAACATGATAAATATGGTGACAAAGATGAGTACAATAGTCCAAATAATGTAAATAGTGTACATAATACCTCATCTCAGAAATATAGACAGATGCATTTAATTTAATTTAATATTTAATTTAAACCATTAGTCTTCTTTTTAAGTCAATAAACATTAATATTTGTAAAAGAATTTAACCATTAATCATATCTGCAAGTCAATAAACACTGCATTTATTGTCATTTAAAGAGTCCGTACATTTTTGGGACACCATATATATATATATATATATATATATATATATATATATATATATATATATTGTATCTTGGCAGCAATCCCTCTTTTATACAAGTTTCCTTAAAGATGACTGATAAGGTACTGTGATTAAGCTTTTTATTTAATTTTTCTTGTGTTCGTATAAGTGTTTTCTTTTCTGGACATAAAGTCTGGGAAAATAGTCCAAACGGACATACCACTACATGCCTATCAAGAAGACTCATGTTACATCTCTCTGATCGTAGCTCCATTAGGATTCATTTACATATACTCAGGAAGCTACCAAACTCTCTCTGTAAAATATTTGTTCAAAATACAAGTACAATATCCACAGGTGAAAAAAAAAAAAAATAATGAAAGCACTAATAATAAAAAAGAAAAAGCCAACACTCAATAACATCAATAATGAACACGGCCACAATGTGCTGACAGTGTTTGTAATATAAAAAAACAAACTTTCCCGTCACTCTAGAAACATATAAAAATCTACACATTAAAAATAAAAAATAAATATCCTCGATAATGTCTAATAGAATAGCCGAAAGTATCTAGATATGTAAAACATTTTTTAAACACATTATGTCCAGAAAAGAAAACACTTATATGAATACAAGAAAAATTCAATGAAATTCTTAATTGCAGTACCTTGTTCATTGTCTTTAATGGCATCTTTGTGTATGTGTGTGTATATATATATATATATAGTTCTTTTGACATTTTCCAAAATGGTTTAAATAAAAAACCTATTCATAAGTACAAGTAGTATAGGTAAAATTAGAGACATAATGAGATGCCAAGAACCTAGAGACGCTTACCTTGATATACTTTTTAATGGTTGTATATTTGTAATGATAGGATCTTCAAGGTATTGGAAAACATGGTGATGTTCACACTCATGATGATCAAATGTCATTGTAAAGTCCAGAGGCTTGGTGGCATTGTAAATATTCTTGGAAGTTTTGCAAATGCACCTTGTTGCTTCGCAACTAGTAACATTGGCAGTTTTATCTTCACAGCTGGTGACGTGAATGTTGCGGCTGTAAAAATATTGAAAAATACAAATAGAAATCAGAACAAAAATTAAAAAACTGTTACATTCAGATGATATTTTAGAACCAAGGTTATTGTCAATTTTATCTGAAGTTTCTCAAGGCTCGGTCCTTTTGTTTGTTTTTTTTTTTTTTAAATTTCTATTGACTGATATATCAACAGCAGTTCTTCCAGTACACAGATTTCTGTGTGGATTACTATAAACAATGTGAGTGTAAAGAAAAACAGACAAACGTTTAAGCTTGTAGTGAAAATTTATTCAATGCAATCTGACTACTGCCCATAAATAAAGTTTGATTCTTTCTTTTATAATTGAGCAGTTCAAAGGGGAGACAACTATGGCTGCCTTATGTTTATCATGCATTGAATTCTAAAGTTTTTATATTTTATTTTTTTCCTTTTTTTCTAAGGATGCATTACCATTTCTGAGGCTTCTTTTTTGGTAAGAAAAATTGACAATATGGGTGTGCTTTGCCATGAACTTGGCAGACCTATCCTACTAGATTGATTTTTCTCTTCACTACCTACTTCATAATTGTTGCCCTTGTGCCTTACTAAATTAAATATCTGTCAACCACCAGGCACATATCTGACATAATTGATGTAATCAATTTTTTCTATAAATATTTTCATGGTAATTTTTCTATGAGCTTCCCTTGTTGGTACTTAGACTTTATTAATTTAAGTGTATTGCTAAATTGGTGACAAGGTTTCATTATCTTACAGTTGAAATGGCTAGATGTAACTGTAAATTCTAGGCTAACAGTTTTTTCTCTCCCACTTTACACTTGTGGAACTCTCTTCCAGCTTCTTCCCAGACAACATTGATCTTCCCAGTATAAGCAATATGTATATGTCTGTGGTAATGGTAATAGTCATTTCCTTATATGGAAACATGTGGCATTCATTGACCAAGCAGCCAGTGCCAATCAAGTTATGTTCTCCTTTACTCCTTGTTCATCAAGCTGGAATCAATATGTAGCATCTGTTCTCATCATTTTTTTTTTTTTTAAATTGGCTAGATGTAAATTTTTGATAAGAGTTTCTTTTTTCACACTTCTTTCCTGTGGGACTCTCTTCTATCTTCTTGTTTCTTAGTCAATTCTAATCTTCAATTTAAATGCAATGTCAATCGTTATCTTTTGTCTTCTTAATTCCTGTTTTTTCCTTGTTCTCCCTCATTAATATTTTTTTCTTTTTCTCATATTATTCCACACTCAGCAACCCCTTGTTTCTTAGTGACTTTATTACCTTGCTTGGGATGAAATGATTAAAAAAAAATTGCATATTTCCCATTGGTGCTACTGGTCAGTGTTCAAGTCATAGTAAAAATCAGTATTTTAAATGTTGATTTTCTTAGTAAACAAATCTTTGGTGAAACACAATCTTTTCCTCTTTAGCACTTTCTCATTTGGCCTTGTAACATACTAAGATTAGTGATTAACAGAGCCTGAAAAAAAAAAAATCAGTGTCTAAGCCCCAGGAAAAGCCAGGAGACTAAATGCCAATATTTCAAGACCAGTAGCCCCTGACCATTTGGAAAATTAACATGATATTAATTCAAATCAGTGTTGTCAGAGTAATCTGCTTTTGAAAGTCTTTTGCTATTAAATTTCAAATTTTATTACTTTTAGATTACTAATGAGAAGAAAGTCTATTCAATATTTAGAAGGACTAATGTTTTCTAATATAGCAACCTTGGCCCTTATTGTCCTAATATGAGCTCAGCTCAGTGAATCTCAAGAAAAAATGATAGCATTCACATTGAGGAAAAATTCTAGTAACCAAACAATTGCTTAAATTGGTGTTTGAAAAGATCCTTGAAAAGTTGCATAAATATTTCTTAAGGATCCAGTTTGTTTTTGAGGTTTCTTAATTCAATTTAATTTTGTTCCTATAAAATGTAATATTGGGATTTGATTTTCTTTGATTGGAAAATTTCTCTGTAGATTAATTGATGAAGTGACTGAATTCCCAAGTTTAATATAAAGAGCAAAATAAACATAAGTATGGAGTAGAACATTCAAAGCCATCTGACATCTGATGTGGTAATGGTAATATTATCTGTTTTCTTATAAGGAAACATTTGGCATTCATTAGTTGAGCAGCCACTACTACTGTCAGTTGAAATTTATAAAAGCTTTCTATTAAAACAATTTTTCAGGAAAATGAATTTATCAATTCCAATAACTGTTATTGCTCTTTCTAGTATTGATATCCTTCCCAGCATTTTGTTTGAAATGTCAGCATCTTGATTATGTCATTATTTTCTCTTTGAGTTATATGTGCTATCCATTTTAGTTGTTGCTGTTGTTGAAAGTCCTTAAGCGATGGGGTTTCTGTTATATAGTTATGTTCTTTGTGATTCTGTCATGTTAGTTCACTAGGTTTGAAGGAGGATGGTCCTCATTAAGACCTACAGGGCTCATTCACTCAAAGTAATTTTAATCATTGATCTGAGAAAGTGATTGCATACAGCTGACAGTATAGATGGTTGATTTTAAATGAAGTTATCATTGAGGCATACCTCTGAACTTAAAGTCCTACATTCAGAAAATCAGAATAAAGCTGAGCATCTTATTGCTTCGGATGTCTGTGTTGCTTGGCACTTCAAATATTCTGTGAAAGATGCTTCCTACCTGATATTGTATAAATTGATGGGAAGCCCTCATAATGCAAGATCTAGAGTTGAAAATAGAAAACTGTGCAAAGGAAGATAATAATAATAATAATTGGAGTCTGAGCTAACTTGAAGGTATTTCTAACTGGGTCCCAGCTGCAAGCTAATGCATTGATTTTCTTAATATCTGTCACTATATTATGTATATGTTATACTCTTATTAGTTTGGGTGTCATAATAGGTATACCAAACATCGTACAGTTGTCACCAGTGTCATGCACTAATAATTATAATAGTAAATGGTATCAATATCAGCCAGAGACAGTAGTACAAAATGGCAGTCAAAAGATATGGGATTTCTCAGTCTTGACAGATCATGTCATCAAAGCACATTGAAGATCCAACCTTAATGTTAAGGAGAGTAGCAAGTGTCAAATTATTGACTTAGACTGGACTCTAAAGAAACTGAAAAGTTTGAAAAATACCAATTCTTTGGCCAGAGAGTTGAAGAAGATATGGAACATATCTGTTGATGTAATTCCTGTTGTAATGGCTGTATTTAAAAACACCACTTAGAAAATTGAAAAAGCACTCAGGGAAAATTGGAATTGAGGCCAAGATTGTAGACCTCCAGTAAACTGTCATCCTTTATTCTGCAAGGATTATCTGAAAAGTTCTTGACTGATGAAGGGTCTAGTCAACACCAAATGTCAAGGACAGAATTTTCATTGACTACAATAATGTGCAATGCCAACATTAATAATAATAATAATTTTTTTTTTTTTTGTCAGTGGAAAGTGTCATGATGCCATTTCTAACCTTAGGTCCCTGGCTGGGTCCCAGAAAGAAATGTGTAAACGCCAAAAATCAAAGGAAATAATAATAATAATAATGGGACTATATAATATACACAGAAAAAACAATCAGAGCTAATTGCCCAGACATTGTGACCAAAGACCACAAGAACTGAATGTGCTTTCTTATTGACATGGCAGTCCTTGCAGATTGTAATGTATCTTTGAATATCCTTGAAAAACTATCAAAATACAAAGATGTTGAAGTGGAAATCTCAAAAAATGTGGCACATGCATGAGGACACCAATAATTCCAGTTGTAGTTGGATCCCTTGGATTGATTGGAGAAGGTTCCGATGGACTCATTGAAGGGATTCCTGGTAGCCCATGCTTTAAAGAAATACAAAATATTGTACCCACAATTATAGCTCACACATTGCAAAGAGCTTTATCTATGTAAAATGTGTGTGATCTTTGGGGTTTTTTTTTTTTGGTTTTTTTCTACAAAAATGATTAGTGGAGAATGTCATTTCTTATTGTAGGTCTCTGGTTGGGACCTGGAAGGAAAGGTCAAAGGAAAAGAAATCAAAGAAAGATGATGATGATGATAATAATAATAATAATAATAATAATAATAATAATAATCTTTATTTTAAAGAAGTCACTGAAGTGATCTTTGTCAGCATTGCAATATTGTATTAAAGAATAAGCATACTGAGAACTACCAACAGCATCAACAAGTAAAATAGACAGCATGTGTGACTCAAAGAGAAAAAGATGACATAACATTCCACACTCCTAAGCAAAAGGTTAGGAAGAAAACCCCCATCAATAATGGAAAGAGTGATAACAGCTATTAGACTTGAGAAACCTATTTTCTTGAGAAATTGTTTTAAGAGAAAGATTTTATAAATTTCAACTGAAAGTAGTACTGGCTGCTTTAGTCAATGAATGTTTGGGCAATGAATTGTAGGGAAACATTATCAATACCATATATTACATGAAATGACCAGTGTGATGAAGGCAATCATAGTTGTCTCCCCCTCAGACTACTCTCCTATAAAAAGTAATGGCCAAACTTCACATATGTGCAGTAGTCAACTTGTTTTGAATAAAGCTTCATTACAAACTTAAAGGTTCATCTGTTTTCTTTACAATCAGTATAAAACATTTTCCTGGTTGATAATTAGTGCTTTTCTAAAATGGTATACTCTTGATCAACATTCTTGAAAATTTTTAATACCTCTGTAAGACTGACCAAATAAATAAAATAATTTACTGACCTCTTGATATGACATTCAAAGTTGCCTATTTTGGCAACAATATTGACTCCAGTGTTCAGATCTTGTCCAATTATTGTAATCAAAGATCCACCAGACATAGGGCCATATGCTGGTTCAATACGTTCCACTTTGGGATCCTGAAATACAACATTCAAAATTAACACACTGGTTATCATTTATCTCTTCTGAGTTACTTTATCATACAAACAATTTGGTTTGAAAGACATTTCTGGTATTTTAATATTTATATAGGTTCAAATCTGATAAATATTCCAGAAATAGGTGTTTTTCTGCAGTGCTATATATGATTCCAGAATGATGTCGGATTATCATGGGTCATGAGAGTCATGTTGTTAAACGTCAGAGGAACAAAATTTTTCTGAACCATTTATTAATCTATATCCTTTAAATAGCACAGATTTCAAGTAACTAAATATTAATCAATAGAAATTAAACCTTGTGATCAAATTATAGAGAGTTCAAAAGGAGATTGAATTAAAGACTTATAAATGTACTTAGTTACACTTAAAGATTTCAATTCTTCTAAAACTGAATGTTAAAATAATCTTATATTGTTACCATTATTGATTATACATATGATAAGTTTTTATTATTTAAAAAATGAGATAAAAATGATTAAAAAATATTAATATGTCTAAAAAGAAAGAAGGAAACAAACCTTGTAAAAGAAATATTTGTTGTATGTGGCCCTGGAGTTGTTAATTCTGACTCTAACAGCACCACGACTTGCTGTGAGGTTGCTATTGTGCCCAGCTCTGCATACAATTCTGCAAAAATTGTGAATATATATTATTTATTGATAAAATTTAAAAAACAACAAAGCACATCTGCTTCTCATCGAGCATAAGAACTAAATTAAGGTAGACCTAAAAATGTTATAACAGAAACAACAAAAAAAAAATGTTGCTTAGGCAAGTTAAGCAGAATGCAGAGTTATGTCCCTTGAATTAAAGAAAATCATGATTTCATTTGTTTTGCTGTTTCTTAGTTTCTGTTTTTTCTTTTTAAGTTATTCGCCCCCATTATAGAATACATGGGAGGCAATTTCAAGCTAGGGTCGATATTGTTTATTCTACATATTTTATTCAAGAGATGGTACTTATTCATGCAAATTGTCATACAATTCTGAGAATGTGGCATAAGGGCCAATAAGGCCCATGGCTATGTGTGTTTCTGAAGACATCGATTGTGAATGTGTTCCTTATTGGTTGCTCGAGGCTTTTTTTTACAAAGTCAGCTTGGTACAGCCAATGTCTACTTTTGAGAGAATCCATTATTATGAAGAAAATAGAATTTAAAGATTAATAATAAAAATAATAATTCTGATAATTTCTATATATTATATTACTGATTTATTATCATCATCATAATAATAGTAATAATACTTTTTTAAACAGAGATATGAATAAAATAAAAGTTAAAAGAGACTGACTTCCAAATGCAGAAGATCAATAAAATTAAAATTGTCCAGAGGCTATCATTTGCATTATTCCAAATTTAATAAGCTATATTAAAATAATTTTTTTTTTTATATGAAAGAAGGTTTTTGTAAATTCCTTGTATAAGGCTAAAAAAAAAAAGCAGGGGTAAAAAAAAAAAAAGATTATAATAAAATAATTGAATCAAATAATTATTTCCATGATCTCTAGCCTTGAAAGAAATAGATGAAAATTTTTTAGCAATGAAAAATTTTACTACTACCTTCCCAAGGGAACTGAGTCAAAAATTCAATTTATAAGAGAAAGATTGTTATTATTAATAATCTATGGAAAATGAAATCACTTAACCAGTTTATTATTTGCAATATTTTAATTTTTAGGGGTCGGGGATGAAAACGATTTTAATAGACATTTTGATATTTTTATACATGATTGATAGCAAAATTCTCCTTGTATTAGTAATACTAATAATCTTTTCTGCTTAAATTTTGACAAATTTAGTTATTTACAACTTTGTCATGTTTTTGGGAAAGAGAATTTTCTTGATCACATGGGAACTGGTATTTGAATATACTTAAGACCAGTTGTATAATGAAAATAATTGACGTAAAACAAATTCCTACTGGATGTACTTCCTAAAGCAAACAGGATATTTCATTGCAAAGTTTATTTTAGAAAAAGAAATGTTTCATAAATTTTGCAAGGCATTGCAGAATTATTATTTAGACTATTAAGAATTTTATCATGATGTTCTAATTATGGAATGCCTTGACTTGTTCAGAAAAAAATAACTTATGTCTAATAATATTCTTTATATTTTAGGATGTGAAAAGAATTCTTTTAGTCAAGAAATAGTCTCATTTCAAGATTGATGTATATATAGAGTTATCAACTCATAAAGTGGGAGTGGCATTGAGATTGTATTCCAGACAAGTTTGTTGCATTCACTTTCATACAAATAACCTTAAAAAGATATGACTCCATCTCTTCTCACCCCAACTAGGGGTTAATAGCAGGTAACCAGTACCTGGTAAAAGTCTACTTACTACACAAATGCCAAGTGTAGTGTGACTATATACTCCATTGGGCGCCTACAGGGTTAACATAGCTGATTTGTTTGTTTAACAACATATCAAGATATACATGTTTGTGTGGACATAATTACTAGAGGCAGTGATATGTGTGTTTTATGCTGTACTTTTGTTGAAGTTATATTTTGGAATATAGTTTGATTTCTTTAAGAAATTGGAGGTTATTATATGGATTAATGTCAAGAAAGAGTTCTTTCATGTTGGTTGTTTGGTAGTATTTTAAATGGATTCGGGTGAAGTCACTACAATTTGTAAGTATTTGCTTATTGTTGTTAATTTTTTTTTTATATAAAAATATACTGCTTTATTTTTATTATAATAAAGTGGTTTGCTTTTATTTGGGGCTTCACTTTGCCCATTTGCCTTTCAATATTTAATATTTTGTTTTGACTTATTATTTTGGGAAATCACTTTGTTTCTCTTTGCGTGGAATAATGACCCATGTCAGTTTCTTTAACAATTGAACAGGAGTCGAGGTTAACCAATGCTAGTTTCTTTAACAATTTTAGTATCTGCAAAGTATAAAAAATTTTCAAGAAAGGCACATTTCAGTTAAACAATGTCAGTATTTTAACTTTTTGTGTTTGCATTTCTCTATGGAGTTGTGAAGCATTTGCCCAACATTAATTATTCACAAATAATCTATTGAAACCTGGCAAGCCATTAATAACATCTGGCAACTTGCTTCCCACTCCTTGCCTTCTTCGTATTTGATATCTGCAGACCATTATAAAATCTTGTCTGGAACATCTTTAGATTATTAGAGGCATTTGTAAGTGATCTTTTAAGGTTAGGCCCTACTTGTTCTTTATAATAATGATGAAATAATTAGCATTTATATTTGAGGATTATAAATAGGGTTCCAGGAGCAGTCAGAAGCAAGGTTATGACAAGAAATGTTCTGATATTGAAATCTATCAAGTGTAAGAAATAACACATATTTAAATTTTGTATTTAGTTTTAAAAAAATGGAGGATTATTTTTGTATAATTTTTTTTTTACAATAAGGTTCACTAAGTACAAGGCCTGGAGGTCACTTGAGGTGGAGGGTTACATTAAGAGTCAGTTTAGGAGAGGAAGATAATGGTTAACCTTAGGCTTCAACAAGTTAAGATTGTAGTGATCAAGAGAAACATCCTCTTGGGTGTTGGTTCCACATATGTAGGGTATTCTCACCAAGGCCAGAGCAAATGAGCAAAGAGCAAGTTTTATGTTAAATAGGAACTACAAGGAAATTAATATTTACAATTAGAAAGAGTTGAAATTTGTTGGACAGATGATGAGGAAAGGAGCCCTGGTGAATTTAATACTCAAAGGATATACTAAAGGCAACAGAAACAAGAGGAAACAGCAAGTAACATACTTAACAACTTTGTGTAAATGAATAGCAGAATAAGACCAAAGAAGATGGTAAAAGGGCAAAAATAACTTAAAGCAACAAGAGAAAGGAAGCTGTGGAGAGCTATGATTATCCATCTCTTGGTGACTTTTCTTCAAGAAAGTATCCTCCTAAAATTCTGTATAGATCACAGAGCCAAAAGGACAAATTTTCTCTTTATGCTTTTACCTTTTAAGATGCTGGAATTTATTAAAATAAATGAAACAAAGCAATTTTGTTAACAATTTTAAAATAGGATAAAATTTGATATTATCTGAATGTAGACAATGTAATTTTTTTTCTTCAATCTTTGAGAAGGATAACTCTGAATTCAGAATCATATCTAGCCCTGGCGGATCACATACTATGCAGCTAATTAAAGTACCACTTCTTTGTGGAACTGACTCCCAAGAGGATGCTTTCTCAACCACTACAACCTAAACCTATTCAAGTCTAATGTTAACCATTAGCTTTCTCACATATTCTCATAAACTATACTTCTTACCACTCAAACAATGAACTCCTCCAGTAATCTTCTACATAGAGTGGCTCTTGGTCCTTATATTGGGTGGACATTTAAAAAAAAAAAAAAAAAAGAAATAAAAAATTGTCTTGAGGGTCCATGAAAAATGTAGTAGCCATTACCATATAGATACCCAGTTATTTTGATTCTGTTTCATGTCATGATATTGTTATTATTATCTATTTATTATTTCATAAATTATTTGTTCTCATATCATTATCTTTGTTATCTCCATTTCAGCTTGTTCCTCATATGTCACACCCAGATAACTTTTCCCAGACTGAAATTATTTCTAAATTTAACCAGTTTTAAGATAATTCAAACTGAAATTCAATTTGTGAGCTATCTACACAAGTTAGCACCTCAACAAGGCTCCGTCAATTCCCTGTCAGGCAATCCATTAAAAATGGTCGATCAGTTCATCTGTCTTGGAATTAACATCTCCTCCATTAAAAGTGATATGAGCATTCCCACTGGCAAAATATGGGCTGCAATAGACAAGCTGCCAATAGTCTAAGAATTTGCTTTACTGCATAAAATGAAATAAGACTTCTACTAAGCCATAGTATCAGTCTTGATAGCAATGCATGGACAATGATAAAATAATTAGAAATGAAACTTGATGGCACATATACATGGATACTACCTGCCCTATTGCATTGAATTTATCCAGGTAAGATCATTCTATGAAAAAGCAGACCTATGGCCGCATCTCCCATCTAACAAGTCATTTGGTAGAGATGAATACAATTTATGAAGCACTCCCAGAGAGAGGAAATAATGAGTTTAACAGTGCTGTTCTGTTATGTGACAAAAACATCAACACTGGCATTGGTCACCCATTCAAAACATACATTCAGTAAATATGCCAAATTGAAGGTAAGGTGCAATGGATATTCGTGAACACTGGAGAGAAGGTATTGTGAGGATTTATGTAATCAGCCTGCTCCAATGAAGATCATGGTGAACACTGTTATACTTTATATTTTCTGGTAGGATTATAGAAAGGTTATATTTAGTAATGGATATCTTTTTTTGTTCATTTCCATGGAAACCAAATGCAAAAAAATGTCACAAAGTAAAAAATATATAATAAATTTATGTACTTGACGTACTACTATAGAGTGGTTCATCATTGGAAGTAAATTTGATTGTTTCTTCCACTTCAAACTTATCTTCAGAGTTAAGAATATCTAGCAAGGAGAACTAAGCCTTCAGAAGTATTTGCCTGGTTATCTTGGAATCAAAATCTGATCATTTACTGAGGAAAAATGTCAAAATAAAATACTAATTTAAAAGTGAATCACTGTTACATCTAAGCAACCATATTGCTTGGGTTAATTCAATAGCATATTCCTCTCTGCAGGTAAATATTATTAGATTTGGTTGTAAATAAACTTACATGTTTGGCCAGCCAGATCTGTTGGTTTATTGAGAAAGAGTTAAAAGGTATGAAGTTCAATTCTAAAGTGTTGAAGCTTGAATAAGCATGGAATAATAATAATACAACACAAAATGTACGTAACAAAATGTATTGAAACAATGAAAAAAGGTACACAATATTTACAGGTAGTTTTGGTATATTCTTGGGAAGACTGTTCCTGCAGAATGGGTTGACTAAGTCACAGTCGGGCAGAGTCTCTGGATTCGATCTCTTAATCTTCCGTCGTCTTCCGGTACCAACCCATATTTATATGGTCGGTACTCCACTTATGTAAATTAGGTGTATCATACACAACATAAAGAAATAGACTAAACATGATTGCAAGGTTATAGAAAAAATTCTATCTCTCTTAAAAAAAAAAAAAAAGGATTCTGTTCAAATCTCCCTGAAGGTTATTAGATTGAAGGCCAAATAATTGGGATCAATAATTATAATGAAAGGATGCAGAAGATGATTATTTCCTTTTTTAAAGGACACATTTATTAATGTCCTAAGGGGCCTTGAGAATCACATGACAGTCCATGGATAATAATAGTTGGTGTTCAGCTCATGACTAAAACAGATGCAAGAAAGAACTATTTGCTGCTTAGGTCTTGAGGAAGACATTTGTAGTAGTCAGCAGTCTTTTGGTAAACAAATGAATGACATGCATCCTAAATAAAGACCATAAATCCTACTGTATCCTTCCTGGGAACAATGCAAAATAAGACCTATTTATTCAGCCTTTCACACTGGGTTTTTTAATCTTCTCTGTGTGAGAAATTGTATATATATATATATATATATATATATATATATATATATATATTAGCTGGCCACTTGCATTCAAGGATACCCATCTACTAGGTTGACTAGCTAATCCCTATTGCAAATGCTCGCACAGGTACATTTGTGTTTGCTCAACATCCCCAAAGCCCACCTGTGATTTATACTGTAATTATGCTGAGCAGACCTTAGTTACAGTTTTGGGGGAGAGAGTATGTTTTCTAGCGTGATCAACAATTTGAACAAGGCCAGCATGCTCAAGCCCTCAGCCACGATGACTTGTGGCTTCATGCTAGCACAGATATCAACGGCACCCAAAAGTTCTGTCTACCAAATTTCACTCACAATGCTTGGGTCAACCCGTGGTATGGTTTTCAGGAACTTTCCAAAGGTGCCGAATGCTGGGATCGACCTTGATCCAGTCTTATAGCATCAGGAAGTCTCCTTCCTGAGAAATCAACCATGGTGGGATTTGAACCCAGGTCTTATGGTCAGAAAGCAAATGTTCTAACCACTCAGTCATGTGCCCATAATATATATATATATATATATATATATATATATATATATATATATATATATATACTTTCTTTGTAATCATCATGAATATCCATTGTACCTGGTAGGTCTTCAATTTGACATCCTGTGTCTTCAAATATTTACTGAATGTATGTTTTGAATGAATGATCAATGCCAGTCTCCATGTTTTGTGCTATAACAGGACACCACATTATATATATATATATATATATATATATATATATATATATTATTTGTGCATAACAATTTGTATAACATATTAGTATGCTCTAGTGCTGTATATAAACTTTTTTCAAGCACCACTCATTTTTGTAATTAATTTCTTTGAGTTATTCTTGTCCTCCTTTCCACTGTATTAAGATGTTAATATATCATGGATATACTAATGCTTAACATGGACCTTGGAGATTGGAGAAAACTAAGATATTTCTCTTCTCTTTCAAACCCATCCCATTATTAATAATATGAAAATCAGTTCAAATAATTCATTGAATAGTTTAATAATTTGCTCGATTAAAAGCAAAATGTGATAGCTATGGCTTATATATTTCTTTTATGTTATCCTTTAGAAATTATATGAGCTTCAAATTCTCCAATCCCATAGTCACATAAATATGTGAACATTTACAGAGAAAGATAAGATTTTCAATAAACATGAACCTTTACAAAAGATTTCAAGTGCAAAGAAATAAAGCTGAGGATAGCTTTATTTTCAGAGTTTTAAGAATTATTACCTTTTTGACACTTCATAAGCTTCTTTTATTGGTTCACAACTGTTGTTGCCAAGTGTAATTTTCTTGACTTCATCAAATCGTGTACCCAAATTGTGCCCTTCAATTGTGATTTTGGTTCCTCCTCTCACTGGACTGGACAGTGGATAAACCTAAAACAAAAATGCAATTTAATAAATGAGTCATTTACAGGTAAAATTCATTAAGGAAAAGTATTAAATGTCCAATTCTTCAAGAATGTCCTGAAGAAGTGTAATTCCAAAGATAGTTGAGGCATGGAGTAAGTTAAAAATGTTGATGACTTTAGAGCAAACACATTAGGTAAAATAGAACTAAGGCACTCTAGTAGGGAAGAAGAAAGTAATATTTTCAAAATAAAAATCAAGGGTTATCTGTTTGTGTGTGTGTGTGTGTAGAAAAAATGCATACATGCTTTCTTAACAAATCTACTGCAATCACAATATGGGAGATATTTGAAAACAACAGAAATAAAAACAAAAATAAAAGTGATAAGAAACAGAATGAAGTCAGTTAAACCATATGTTGAGATGTTTAGACACATGAAATGCAAGAAATTTAAGATTTAAAGTTTATCCTTCCCTCTGTCTTCAGCATTTCTTTCAATGCATAATTATAACTGACATTTTTAAAAATATTTCCTCCCCTCCGCCTACATATATATAATTCCATCAATAGGAACATTATTTTAGTCTGATGAGGTCCTTTAGAAGGATGAAATACATTATATAGTATTTTTTAATTTTGTCATTCAGTTACTCACAATTTATATACTATATTCTCCCAGATCACTGTCACTTATATATATATATATATATATATATAAAGAGAAAATGATAAAGAGAAAAAACAGTAAGATATATAATCTGGTGTTCTTATTAGTATTTTTATTTTTACAAAACAGTGCTCAATGCAAATCTACAGAGGATAAATATTATAAATTTACTTAATTAAAATATATTTTTCCATTGCTACACAGGAATTACCATGTTTCAAAAACAGAAGCTAAAAACTTCAAATTATAGAATTAAATTAAATTAAAGTCCCTAGTTCTGTTTCATTTTCAAGTGTATTTTGGAAGAACTTATTTTGAAATTTACTGAGTTTTATAAACACATACATTCATAATCTTCGTTTCTATGGATATGGGGAAATCCATTCATTTTAACAAGGGGTGGTAGGGTACTCTTTTTTACTGACAACTATTGTATCAACATATTAGTTACTTTCAAAAAGAGGTTATGTCAAAGTAGGTAGGAGTGCCTTTTTCAAACGAATGATGACATCCATTCAACGCATGATGTCTGGTCTTTTTCAACGACAAATTTTTTTGGCACTTTTGTTTCACTGTTAAATTTGTACTGGTATACATAAAGATTTTTTCTAAAAGGGTTGTTTGTATATGAATACATCGTATTGAACTACAATTTTAATAATAGACTTGTTTAATGCCAAAATCTAAATATTTTGAATGCAATCATACATAGCTATAGAGACCATTCTACTCCACTGTATTCAATAGCTGTGGACTTGAGAAATTTCATCTGTCTTGTGAAAGGTCTTATTTTTAACCCTGCCAGCCTCCTAACTAGAAAAGCCTGCTGAGGGAACAAGTTTAGTCACCAATGACTTTAGTCATGATGGAATCAAAATTTGATCATTTATTGGATGAACTTCAAAAAAAGAAAAAGAAAAAAGTACATAATAAGCTAAATGCTGTCCCAACAGACAATATAATAAAAAATATATCACAATGAAGAGCTTATTGTATACTACTACATTTTTACATCACACCAAGGAGCCAGTTTTTAGTACAAATTCTAGGGACCAATATTTCACAATGTCTTGAAAATGTATATCTATATCAACAGCAGGCAAAGATATGGAAGTGATAAGTGTTGTTTCCGTGTAATATTCTACTAGGATAATGTTAAATTGCATGTTTCTTTAGCTATCTGACAAAAATTGCTGCAGCTTGACTGGTAATTTTTTACTCATCTGCTGAACTCATTAAGCAGTGTACATTTGGATTACTACTAATTTTACCAGTAGCACACATACAATGACCTGACATAAATTGCCATCTTGTGTGAGAATGGCACACTATCATAAGACAAGTTATATCTTCCAAGGCAGCAAATAGGTTAAACAAAGAATGGAAAATAGTAAATTTGATTGCTTTTCCAAATCAGATATTTGAGACAGTCAGATTTTTGAAACTTTGTTTTTAATGCTTAGAAGTGTGTTTTTGGCACAGTTCAAATATCTATGTTAGATGTATCAGGTTAGCCATATTTAAAACTATTTTTGACTGCATTAAATACCATCTCTTGGAGAGCATTACAATATTATTCACAAGAAATATAAGATGTTAACCTTACATAAAGTGATTTGCTGAGAACTTATTGAAAACAATTATAAAATTTCAGTATTTGAATTTGACACAAAATGTCAGTCAGATTTTAGCAATGTATTTTTAGAGTAAACTTGAACTAAGTATAAAATTTATAATATGACATGCAAAATATGTTTTAAAATTTTCACCTCAAGCAAGGGAATAAAGCCACTAAGATGCAAGGAATTTCTGATATTGAGAAAGTATGAGAAAAAACACTATTAAGGAGAGAGGACAAATAAAGAACATTAATTAATAAGGCAGAAGATAATGATTGGCATTGTATATAAACTTTGGAAAATCAAAGTTGACTGGAAAGCAAGAAGCCAGAAGAGATTTCTAGAAGCAAGAAGTACGAGAGAAGAAACTGTTAGCATAGAAATAAGGGTTACATCTAGCCATTTCAATTGTAAAATGATGAGACCTTCCTGACAATCTAGTACTGAGCTTAAATTCATAGAATCTAAAGTCATAAATTATATTTCAATCAAGTTTAATAAGCATTGATTAGAAATCTCAACATTTGAAGTATTTCAGAATGGAAGTTCAACTGAGTGATATGTGCACAACTCTATCGGTGGTTTCTGATATCATTAGATCTCCACAAGGCAATCAGATGTGATGGGATCCCTGCCATCATCCTAAAGAAGCTCAAGTTTTCTCAAGTCCAGTAACTGTTATTGCTCTTTACAGTATTGATGGCGGTTTCCTTCCTAACATTTTGTTTCAAGTAGTGTGGAATGTCAAAAATCTTGATTATGTCATTATTTTCTCTTTGAGTTACATATGCTAACCATTTTAGTTGTTGCTGCTGTTGAAAGTCCTTAACTGATGTGATTCCTGCCATTTAATAAAGTTCTTTGTGATTAAGTAGCACCAGTCCACAAGGCTAGAAGTGGGAAGGTCCTCTCTAAGACCTACAGTGTTCATTTGATGGAAGTCATTTAGCTGCTAGAAATCAGTTGTATACAGCTGAGAGTTAGTGGATTGATTGCTTGATTTGTTTGTTTAACAGCATATCAACTCCTTATGGGTCATTTAATGCTGAAATTTAATTTTCTTGAGAGCTTTGAAGTAATTTAATAATCTTACTATGAATAATTGGTAATTTTTTTTATATAAAAATGTATTGCTGGTATTTTTACTATAAAAATATATTTTTATGCCTTCATAGTGTCTTATCTTTGTTTGTGGATGGGGAGGGGTCAATATTTGCCCATAGCTACCAATCTCCTGATCAGAGGCCTTGCTGCCAGATGTAGTTTATCATCATATCCAGGACTGGAGAGTTAGTGGAACAAAAATGATAATTATGTAATTTAATAAAATTAATGACAAAAATCTTCTTTGAAAATGCATTTTAGTTTTTTTTTTTTTACTTGATAAACTGAACAAACATATTTGTACCTTGTAGAAATTTTGGTCTAACAATCAATTTGATTCTTGAGACAAATCGAAAGTATTAAACATGATTAAGCCATGCATAAAATCAGAGATAATCCTGAAACCATATTAAGTTAAAGCTCTGTCTGGAACAGATTTGGATTGTAATCTTAATCCGAGCCCGGCCCTCGTAAACCAAGACAAACTCTCAGCATGATCTGTTATGGTACCAAACGTCTTGTGATAATAATGTGTTTACTTACGCAAGTTATGTTCGGGTCTGGGCAGTGCACTCGGTGAACTTTTTCTTTACATCGTGGCAAGAATTTGCAGCCAGAATCACACCAAACACAGTTCATGTCTGGATACCGCCAACGAGTGCTCATGCATTCTCCACAATCCGGACCAACTCGATCGCAACGGTAAAACTCCACTGCAAACATAAAAGGTAGAAAATGAGATGAACTGAAACCATGTAAACAAATTTACAACATTATCTTGACAGAGAAATAAAGTTAGTCTACTTAAAAAAGACAGTTGAAATTAGGGCACATAATGAAGAAAGAAGGCTTACAAAATTCAAGACTCACAGGATATATAAGCATGAGAGACAGAGGAAAGCAGCGTGTAACCTACCTAATGAGTAAATATTTAACAAAACATAGTTTAGGAGGGATAGTAAAAAGAAAAACTTTACTGAGAACAGCAAAGGACAGGAGGTTGTGAAGAGCCATGTTTGCCCATGTCCTGAATGGACAGGGTACATAAAAGAGGAAAACCGACAACAAAACATCAATATACTAGTATAGATACATAATAAACTCTTTACTTTCAATCAACAGTAACTGTTAAAAACCTATCACTTATGAGACTTAAAATAGTTCTTTCTTATTTTTAATAAAATCATCCCAAGTAAGACGATAATGCCACTAAGACACAATGGCCTACTAGGAGTAAAAGAGAATGAGAAGAATTTAGAAAGAACTGGAAACTCAATCCTAAACAGGAAACATGGGATAAACCCTCTACTCCTGTTCAAAAAAGCCTGAGAGGAGTGTGAACTGGTTGGTTTGTTATTTAATGCCAGAATCTAAATACTTTTTGCATAATTTTATACTTTCAGAGTAAAGGTATGTTTCTTTACAGATATAGTTTGTTGATACAGTTTGTAGATGTGTTGTTGGTAATTTTACTATAAAAAAATATTCATATATGTTTTTTAGTCTTGCATTGATTGTCATTTTGCTATAAAATTGTATTGTTGCTCATTTTATTATGAAAATGATTTTTCTTTGGGGGGTTCACTATTTTCCCATAGCTGGGACCCTAACAGGTGCTACCACCCTAAGTCTGGGTGGACTTGGAAACATCAGCAGTTAAGAAGTGGTTCCACATTCCTCAAAACCTCCAATCTCCTGATCAGAGGCTTTGCTGCTGGATGTAGTTTATCGTCATACCCAGGACGAAGTGTGAACTGGATGATAGGCATACCTATCTACTCCTATTGAAAGAAAGAAAAATAAAATAAATAGTAAATAAAATTTCAGAGTTTGTATTATTTCATGATTATTATTGCTATATTTCAATTATTATTAGTTATAATGCATTTATTGTGATTGTATACATAATAGCCATAATCTGGTATTAACTTTGCCTGAAATCTAATCACTTTCTTATTGATTTTCAGTGCATTTCTACAATAAAAATCATTAGCGATGCATTTACATTATGCATATAATAGCCCAATAACATAATGCTTGCTTTAATTTCTGACTTTCAACAAATCATTTTTCCCTTGATTTTCAAGGCACTTTAAACACACTAAATATATTATCCTAATATGCTGTCAGAATTAATCGCAACTGAATTTTTCTTGTACTTTAGAATCATTGTACTTTGTTGTTTTATCCCCCATAGATTATCTCTTTCATTACTATTTGTACCATTAGATTAGACATTTTTAAATGGATTTGTTTTTTATCTGACATTATTTTGTATTAATATAAAAATAACATTTTACAGTAATAAGATATTATGTTGGGTTAAAAAAAAAAAGAAAAATCCATTTAAAAATTACTATGTTTATGCTTTAGGTCTGAAAACAAAGCAACTTTGATCTTTCTAGCAAAAATCAATGATCAAAGTTGAACCAGTCACAAAAGTTATGAATATAATGAACAGGGAAGTTGTAATATCACTTTCAATAAAGACTCAATTATGTCATTTCGAAGGAATTAATGGATTTTATTTATAATTCTACATTATTTAAAACATTGTATTTAGTGGATACACATCTTTGGGCAGACATCTCTTTTTTTCTAAACATCTACCGGCCTATACATTCAAACCTTGCTGGAAGGTATGTTCTTTATATTAGGACTTTCATCTGCACAGTCCAATGGAGATACATTTACACTGCTTAAAAAAATGGGGTTTCTACTCAAACATGTGTAGCTACTAAATATAACTTTAATAAGAGTCTGAATAATAATAATGATAAAAATAATAAGAATAAAAACTCATTCATGCCTGTTCCACATACTATATCTAATGGATGTCAGTTATCAGTTATCTCCTGTTAATTCACCTCTTCAAGATCTCCACTGCCTTAACCAAGTTTTGAACTCACAACACTTTCGGTCCTGTCACTGGATCTAACCAATGCCTTTATCCACCGTGTCATGTGTCCTTACGTGGATAAAGGCATTGGTTGGAAGTAGAACAGTCTACCCCAGTGAGCGAAATAAACAGTTCAGTTCAACATTCCAACCACCTGAAGAAGGCCAGAGTGTACAACGGTTGAAATGTTGTGATAAATATGGCAACAAAGATGAGGACAATAGTCCGAATAATGTAAATAGTGAAAAAAATTAAATATTTACTTTAAAAATACTTATTTACAAATAAATTAGAGCTCGCTAACTGTTAATTATCTATAATTTCACAATCATTGTGATAATTTGGAACATTAAATATAAGTTTGTTGAAAGAACAGAGCCTTGTTCTGAGTTCAGACAAGTTGTTTTAATGTAAGAAAAAATTTATATAAACAAATTATAACCAGAAATAAAATAATCTTCAGTAACTTAATTCTCCAAGTTTTTGTTCACTTCTGCTGTGGTCAGATATTGAACACACAACTCTTTGGGTCAAGTTCCTTCAACCAATCCACAGGGCAATGTGTCCATGCATGCATGGCACATGGAACTAGAACAATCTGCTCCGGTGAATGAAATAAAGGGTCTGGTTTGAAATTCCAACATATATCACCTGATGAAGGCTGAAGTGTATAATGGCCGAAACATTGTGAACATGATAATAAAGATGAGGACAACAGTCCAAACAATGTAAATAGTTACAATGCTTCATATCAGAAATATAGATATTTAAAAAACTACTTATTTACAATTAAAATTCATAGAATAATTTAAGCACCAAAGATAGTTAACTGTCAATTATCTATATTTTCAAAACAATTGTGATATTTTAGGACACAAAGTATAAATTTGTTGAAAGAAAGGAGCCTTTTTTGAGGGTTCAGACAAGTTGTTTTAATTTAAGAAAAAATTTATATAAACAAATTATAACTAGAAATAAAAACTCAAAATCTATTGATCTTCTTCTAACAAGTTTAATCCAGTTTGTGATATCTGGATTAAGTTTGTGGATAGAACAGGTTTTATATTAAACTGGTATCAGTGATTTCACATTTTAAACTGTTTCAGTTTGGAAACATCTTATTTCTTTGTTTTATCTCCATAGATTCTCTCTTTCATTATTGCTGGTCCTCTTAGATGAGTGTAGTCCATCACTTCAGATTTTAACTAATGTAGGACACTAGCTTTATATAAGTTAATAAAGTACAAAGTTGGATGCCACTGATGACCAAATGTTATTCAATATTTCTAGAATGAACAAAGATCTGTCTGCCACATAAATCATGTGCTTTCTAAACAAATAATGTTTCTATAAGGAAGCTATAATATTGCTTTCAATAAATAGACTCATATATGTCTGTGTTTTTTATTTACATGTTGGAAATTGTTCATATGATGGAATAATGTTTCATAAAATATGAATTCAGTAATCCTATTTAAAAGAAAACAGTAAAATTGATAAGATTGTACTCTTCACAATTATAAATATTTGTAACACTTTTTTATATCGGGATAAAATTGAATAGTTTTATTTTGAAAATAAAAGGATGCAGTCTGTGCAATAAAACCATTCCAATTTAGCAATCATTGATTTTGAAAGCATATGAGAAACAGTGAATAAAATTAATAGTAATAGGAATTCTAGTCAAGTGTGAGAAATGTGGTTTTACAGAAAGATACTGAGGATACCATAGTCTGATCATATGAGAAAGGACAAGGTTTTAGAGAAAAAGGAAATACATGGAAATATATATATTTCATAAGGAAGAGACAGCTGAAATTTCTGGAGCACATAATGAGAAAGGAGGGCTTGGAAAATCTGTTACTCACAAGATGGATTGAGGGTAAGGGGGACAGAGGAAAATAATGTGTAACATACTTGATGAACTTGAGAAAATGGATGACATGATAGGGTTTAGAAATGAAAAAACTGCAAGAGACAGGAAATTGTGGAGAGCCATGATAGCTTACCTCTTGAGTGGACATAACATATATAGAGAGAGAGTAGACATTTTAAACATTCCAACTCTCAGTCTACTCCTCAGTTGATTATTACCTGCAAGTCCACATGAGTAATAATTATAAATGTAACATTTTCAACAACTTCAATGTTTGAATAAAATTTACCAGTTTCATTTTGAAAATAATACAAGGCAAAATAGATCCTCTATAAGATTCATGATTTTTTGTATTCTTCTGATTGCATATATTTCAAATAAATTTGATAAAAATAAAAAAGTCACTTGTGAATTGAACAAATTCAAACAGGAAGCCTGTCTTTACCAGTTAAACTATTTAACATTAACACTTTCATTATAATCATCATCATCTATGTGCTGTGTCTCTTCAGTATGTGAGTGATCATGGCCCTCCATAACTTCCTGTTCCATGAAGCTCTAAGTAACATTTGACTCTTTACCATCCCTCCTTGTGTCTTCTCTGTTATCCATTATTATATTAGTTTCTGTTCCCTCTACTACTCCTTCTCCTCTTGATAAATCCTGTAAGCATTAAATTTTCCAAGCCATCTTTCCTCATAGTCTCAAAATTAGAAAATTAAGACTGGGCACTCTATAAATAAAATCCAAAAGCATTACCATGTCATTGTGGGTGACAAATTATTTTCCACCCTACAACCCCTTTTCTCACAGGCAAAACATTGAAAGCCTCTCATTGCTTTATTGTTATTTCCATGAAATGTGCTCAGATGAGCTACAGTTGTTAGTTCCACCAGTTCTAACCTTGACAGCTATGACCCACCATGCTATGCATATTG